ACATGTGGCTCCTTCCTATCTTCAAAGCCAGCGATGGTTGAATCACTTCTCACACAGAATCACTTCAGCTTCTGCTTCTATTGTCACACCTCCCTCTCTGACTCTGATTCCTCTTTGGCCTCCATCTTCCACTTTTAAAGACCCTTGTGATTACACTGGACCCACCAGGATAATCAATCAGCTAATTAACAACCTTGATTCCCCTTTGTTATATAACAGAACACAGTCACAGGTTCCAGAGATTAGGATGTGAATATCTTTGAGGGTCCATTACTCTTCCAACGGAGGGGATAAAGGAATAAATATGAACTCTTTCCAAGCCCGTCCATGCTCTCTGAATGTCCCAGCCTCCACTGTTGAGGAAGGTCTTGCTGTCCATGGGTATTTCCTTGTCCAGGGCCATCTGGTTGCACATCCTGCCTGCTGCAGCCTCACAGATGGGTTGGGGGCAGTGACACTGTGCAATGATGCTGTGTGCAACTTCGGGACTCCTCACTGCCCTTCTGTAGCTTTCCCACATTGGGCCTTCTCCAGCTCCTGTCCTTGGGCATCCTCCAAAGAAGGGAAGGGGGTTCCTTTCCTCAAACTGCCTTCTGTGTAAGGGAAACTAAACATGAAGTCATACTGGTACTCTATGTCCACAGAGGACTCTACTCAAATCTGTGTCTCATGGAAGGAAGCACGAAATCAAATATATGTGGTAATACTAAAAAACACTGAACTGTACAATTTAAAATTAATTTTTTGGGGGGCCACACCACATGGCTTAGTTCGCCGACCAGGGATCAAACCCGGGCCTCCAGCAGTGAAAGCGCTAAGTCCTAACCACTGGACCACCAGGGAATTCCTGAAAATTTTATAGTGTGTGAACTGCAAATCAGTTTTAAAAAATAGTGTTACTGGGAGTTCCCTGGTGGTCCAGTGGTTAGGACTCGGCAGTTTCACTGCCAGGGGCCCAGGTTCAATCCTTGGTCAGGGAACTAAGATCCTGCAGGCCACATGGCACGGCCAAAAAAAAGAAAAAATAGTGTTACCAAAAAGTCTGTGGCAGGATTACTCATCCCTTCATTAATTCATTGATTTGCTAATATACTCACTGATTCTGCATATGTTTGTTGAGTGTTTACTAAATGTGAGTGCCAACTCCATCAGTGCATGCTCTCTCTGGTAACCATCTTTTTGATGCCAACTCAGCTCACCAACTGCCTTCCCTGAGAATCACCTTTCCCCAATCCACCTACACAGCTGGAGCCCTGGGGCCCTGGAAGCCATGTTTATCTGACTTGACTCTAACCCCTTAACCCCAGCTGACTGGACTCAAGCTGGGCCAGTCAGATTTCTCTCCCATGAAACTGGGACTTAGTTTTGGCCCTCTTCTCTCCACACGTACCATACCATCCCTCAAAGCTACCACCCTTCCCCGTGGCTTCATCTCTATTATAATGACTCCCACACCTATATCACCAGACCAGTCTCTGGAGCTCCACAGGTGTCCATCCAACCGGCCCCTGGGCAGCTCCACTTGGATGTCCCACAGGCACATCAAACTCTATCTGATCCTTCATTTCACTCACATCAGAGGCTGCTTTCTATTCTCTTTTCCAGACAGAAGCTAACATCCCAGTCAAAGCCTCTAGGTCCTGAGGCAGGGACTGTGTCCTGGATTTCTTTGTGTCTTCCACAGCATCTGGCACAAAAACTCACACTTGGTAAACACTGATTAGTTAGCGGGTTGAGTTTGGGCTACCTTACTCAAATCAATTATAGGTTCATTTTAGCAAAGGCTGCAAGCAGATACTGTCAGAGTAGAATTGCTTTGGTGATTGGCAGTGTAATGTTTTAGATTTTTTTAGCTAAGTTAATATACTAAAAATAACTCCCAGAGTTCCCAATTGCTTTTGGACACGATGTGATTTATCAAAATTCCCAGCCCAAGGAGGAGAGAGGAAGAGCAAAGTCCTTGCCTCCAGTGTTTGGGAAAGTCATAGGCACCAAATGGCTTAAAGCCACATTTATCTGTGGAGTTCTGGGGCTGAGTGCATTGCTTTTACCATGACAGAGAAAAAAGAGTTAGCATTACTGAGCCCTTGCTGCGTGCTGGTTACTTAACCTATGTCTACATCGCTGTTATGGGCTAAGTTGTGTGCCCCCAAAATTCCTATGCTGAAGTCCTTATGCCCAGTACCTTGAAATGAGACTGTATTTGGAGATAGGGTCTTTAAAGAGGTAGTTAAGCTAAAATGAGGTCATATGGGTGAGCCCTAATCCAATATAACTGGCGTCCTTATAAGAAGAGATTAGGACAGAGACACACACTGAGGAAAGGCCATGTGAAGACATAGGAGGAAGATGGCCATCAATAAGCCAAGGAGAGAGCCCTTAAAAGCAATCAATCCTACAGAAAATTTGATCTCAGACTTCTAGCCTCCAGAATTATGAGAAAACAAATTTGTTGTTTAAGCCACCCAGTTTAGGGCTTCCCTGGTGGCGCAGTGGTTGAGAGTCTGCCTGCCGATGCAGGGGACACGGGTTCGTGCCCTGGTCCGGGAGGATCCTACGTGCCGCGGAGTGGCTGGGCCCATGAGACATGGCCGCTGAGCCTGCACGTCCGGAGCCTCTGCTCCGCAACGGGAGAGGCCACAACAGTGAGAGGCCCACGTACCGCAAAAAAATAAAAAGCCACCCAGTTTGTGCTACTTTGTTATGTCAGCCCAAGCAAGTTAATACAGTCCCATTTAATCCTCCTATCAATCTAAAAAATAAATTATTAGCTCCATTTTATAGATAAGGAAACTGAGGCAAGGAGAAGTGAAATGACTTCCCCATCTTCCAGCCCACAAGTGACAGGGTGGGATGGGAGCCTAGGTTTACCCAACATAGAGACCCCATGGTAACCAATGTCCTTCATTCTCAGGGCTCTGGGCCACTCAGAGATCTGACAAAACTGTGGTGTGCTCCCACTGACCTTTCCTCTCTCCTTGACCTTTGAGGGTTCCCTTGATGTCTCCCTCTCTCTGAGCACCCCACCCTAACCTCAGGCATTGTCAATGACTTCCTGGCACAACTAGCTCCTTGGTCTCATTCAAGACACTCAGAAATCTTTGAGTGCCCTTGTGTAGATGCTCTTTCTTGAAGCCCTAACATTTTAGGGTCTGTCTCACCCCAATATCACGAACTAGAGTTAGTGGAGGTGGGGGCGGGGTCTCTCCACTACTGTCCTCATCTAGAAAGCTAGCCAGAGGGCAGGACAATTGTCCAAGCAGAGCACTGCACCAGTCCGGCCTCAGGGTGGTTCCCATGCAGCATTTTACTTAATCCTCACAACAAACCTGAGTTAGGCATTACTATCATCTTCATTTTACAGATGAGAAAACAGAGGCACCAAGCAGTTAAGAAACTTGCCCAATACCACATAGTGACACTTGACCTTCCTAGGAGTCAGGGAAGGCCTCCTTGAGAAAGCACATTTGAGCTGAGAGAGGACTAGAAAATGGAAGAACAGCATGTGCAAAGATCCAATGGCAGGATGGAGCCTTTGCGTTTGAGGTGCTAAGGGAAGATCATGTGGCTGAAGCCCAGAGTAAGAGGAGAGAAGGGTAAGATGAGGCAGGGGCTATGCTAGGCAGGGCCTCGGAGGCCTCGCTGAAGGTTTGGGTCTATGTCATAAGAGCAACAGGAAGCCATCAGGTTTTAACCAGGGAGATGACGGAATCAGGTTTGCAGTTTGAAAAAACTCTTTCTGAGGACAGTGTAGATAAAAGATTACAGGGAGAGTGTAGGGAGAGCATTAGGGTCCATGGCAGTAATCCAGGTAACATGGATTAGGACAATAGCAGTGGAGGTAGGAGTGTAGATGGAGGGACTTCCCTGGTGGTCCAGTGGTTAGGACTCTTTGCTTCCACTGCAGGGGGCACGGGTTCAATCCCCTGTTGGGGATCTAAGATCCTGCATGCCACATGGAACGGTCAAATAAATAAAAGAAAAAAAAAAGGAATGGAGAGGGAAATAAATAAATGCTTTTAAGAGCCCTTTAAGAGGGAAAGTGACAGCATTTGGTGATAGATTGGACACAGGGTGAGGCAGAAGTTGAGGTCCCACGTTTCTGGCTGGTGCAACTAGCTGGTCAGTACATAGTTCATTCAGACAGGGAACACTGGACAAAGAAAAGGTGTGGGAGAAACTGTGTGTTCAGCCTTAGGTATGCTGAATTTGAGGTAAGACACTCAAGTGGAACTATCCAATAAGCAGTGGGGTATGCAGGTTTGAAGGTCAAAAGGGAGGTATGGCCTGGACATGACTATTTGGGAGTCGTATCCAGGACCAGTCTATCTACTAGGCATGGGTAGGCCTATTAGTGTCCCAATACTCTTAGGGCTCCTCAAAAAAAAAAAATGCTTTAATCTCCTTTAAATCAGAAAAAAAGTTTATTTTATTTTATTTTTTTAAAGACATTTCTATTCCTTTTTTTTTTTTTTTGGCTGCCTTGGGTCTTCGTTGCTGCGTGCAGGCTTTCTCTAGTTGCGGCAAGCGGGGGCTACTCTTCGTTGTGGTGTGCAGGCTTCTCATTGTGGTGGCTGCCCTTGTTGCAGAGCACGGGCTCTAGGTGCGTGGGCTTCAGTAGTTGTGGCACGTGGGCTCAGTAGTTGTGGCTCGCGGGCTCTAGAGCACTGGCTCAGTAGCAGTGGCACATGGGCTTAGTTGCTTCGCGGCATGTGGGATCTTCCTAGACCAGGGCTTGAACCCGTGTCCCCTGCATTGGCAAGCAGATTGCCAACCACTGCACCACCAGGGAAGTCCCAGAAAAAAGTTTTAATAAAGATGTTTTAATAGATAATATTAATATATTCATCTTTACACCAATGCAGTCATAAAACATAATTAAAAAAGAAATTGTTTGGGCTTCCCTGGTGGCGCAGTGGTTGAGAGTCCGCCTGCCGATGCAGGGGACATGGGTTTGTGCCCCGGTCCGGGAAGATCCCACATGCCGCGGAGCGGCTGAGCCTGCGCGTCTGGAGCCTGTGCTCCGCAACGGGAGAGGCCACAACAGTGAGAGGCCTGCATAACGCAAAAAAAAAAAAAAAAAAAAAGAAATTGTTCTGTAGGAAGGGGCCCACAAAAGTCGTAATGCTGCCCTGGTTATATTAGTAAGGATGCTTTCTACCACAAAATATCAGAAAGCCCACTCTCAATAGCTTCAGCAGTGACAATATTTAATTTCCCTTGTTCAGCATTAGGGTGGCCTCCAGGGATGGCAGGGCACTCATGCCCTCAAGGACAAAGACTCCTTCCAGCTCTCCACTCTGCCATCCCTGCTGTTGGCTCCATTCTCAGCTTGGGAGCACACCAGCTTCAGTAGGTCCAGGACATATCTAGACTTGACAACATTCCCAGGAAGAGAGCCACTGGGCATGTCGCTTCCAGTGATTCTCTCCTAGGAGTGAGAAAACCTTTCCCAGAAGCCCCCCAGCAAGTGTCCTCTTAGTCTCACTGGGTATAACCCCATTCCTAAATCGTTACTGGCAAGAAGGAAGGAATTTATACGATGGGCTCAGACTAGGGTGCTCATCTGGGGTGCGTCAGAGGTTAGGGAGTCTTCTAGACTCTCTTCTCTAGAAGTCTTCCTCCAGGAGGTGGGACCTGAAGCCAAAAGCAAGGATGAGCTCACCCAGGGAAGAGTGTTCAGAAAGAGAAGCACAGAGGACGTAGGAGCTTCAGCATTTCCATCTACTGAGGGCTAAAGGAGCAAAGGTTGAATCAATTCCTGCTACAGAGGGGCTTCCTGTCTGATGGAAGAGACGCATCATTAAACACAGTTGCAAATGGACTGGAATGTGAGAGCAGACTGGGTTGGAGGCCCAGCTGTGTGTTAATACGTATGTGACTGGGTAGGTTTCTTAAGCTTTCTGCCTCAGTTTCCTTTTTGTATAGTACAGTACACATAGTAGATATCAAATAAATGCAGCCATCATTGTTTTATTATCATCCACATTATTATATATAGGTGGCAGGAAGCCACTGGAAGGGAATTAACAGGCAGATTTGTGTCTAGGTTAGAAGGCTTAGGCAGGTTGTGCTCTGTCCCTGCTCTGGGTTTCCTCTTCACTAGGTCACTGTGAGCAACTCACTGAGTTTCCCTCTGGCTGTCCCCAAGGCTGAATGCCACCAGAACCCTCCAGGCCCCAGCAGCATCTCCATAAAATCTGTGTGTTGGTTTTAGCTGCACTCCTGTGCTTTGGAATTAGGATAAATTACTATCCCTCCTTTCACTCCTGTCTGATTACATTGTTGCCACTCAAAGAAATTAATCAGGTTTATTAAGCATGACCTCTCTTTTGTAAGCCCTGCTCCCAGTCAGCCGATATGTAGTACCTGTCTGCTGCTCTCCTAGTTCAGTTCCAGTTGGAGAGGCCTCAACCTTTCTCAGTGTTCTGGTGGGGGTACCGACAGGCGGCCGAGTGGCCACATCTTTTATTTGCAGAGACTGATGTTCTGGGCTGGGTTGGACAAAGACAGGATGCTCTGCTGTAGTGAGCACAAGGCCCTTTGTTACCATGGCTGTGGAAGAAATAGGAACAAAAGGGATAAACGTTGCATCCAAATATGCTAATAATTAACACTTAACACCATGGATATAAAAAGCATTTAATACTAAATTACTATGATCATAATAGCTATTCTTTATTCAGTCCTACTCCATATGGCATCATGGCTTAGTAGTTAAGTACATGTGAACTGGAGTCTGACTGCCTGGGTCCAAATCCTGGCTCTGCTATTTACCAGTGTGGACAAGTTACTCACGCTCTTTGAGTCTCAGTTTTGTATCTATAAAGCACGGGCAATGGAAGTACACAACTCATAGGGTTATGTGAGTTCATATTATGCTTATAAAGCACTTAAACATGACCTACCACATAATAAGCACTCAATAAATATTATATTTTTATATACATTGGTCAGCAAATTTAGACCTCAAAACAAACATATGATGTAGACATTATCATTATTATTATTATCCCTATTTATCAATTGAGGAAATCAAGACTCAGAGAGGTTGAGTAACTTTCCCAAGGTTACCCAGCAAGAAAGTAACAGAATCCAATTCTGACTGACCCTAAAGTCTTGTGCTTTCCACTGCACCAGGTCACTGTCTTCCATGAGCTCGTGGCAAGAGGTCCCACATCAATGTGATGGTACAGTATTGGTAACTTTCACAAATTCCTCTTCCCTTTCATCACAGTTGGAACTAGGTATTTTCAGAATGAAGGAAAGAGGAATCCTGTGGACAAGGCAGCTTAAGCAAGGTTTCTCTTCTCTCTGCCCCTGCTTTACGCCCAGATCCTCAGCCTTCCCTAGAATGTACAAGGCCCAGTTCTCTAGTGGAAGCTGGAAAGCCAGCTAGGGAAGAGCAGAGACATGGCCCAACTCTGGGTAAGACTTGCTCAAGTACCACCCATCTGATGGCTTGGCTGGCAGAGTGGAGCCACAGGGAAGAACATGGCCATGGGGTGCCGGCCACACCAGTGCCAGGGGCTGGCAGGTTTGAGGCCAAGATGATCCAGGACAGATCTTGCACCCTAAAAATCTTTGGACATCACCAATAAAATAAAGTAAAACAGCACAGCCCAAAGCACCTTCCTGCCGGAGAACTTAAAATTCTTGAAGGATGCCTGCATTTTGTCTTTTAATGTAAAGGAATCCCAGAGTCTGGCTTATCACACCTCCTGTGGAGTGGGTATCTGGCTGCCAGACCAATAAGTGTTCATCAGGGCTCTGACCACTGCACAGCCTAGTCAGGCCTCTGCCCATTCTTCCACACAACCAAAGTCAGGCCTCTGCTCATGCTTCTACACAGCCAACTCTTGTTTTGTATTCAAAAGCAGTTCAATTCCTAAACAACCATCTGGGCAAAAATAAAACTCAGCCTTACAAATATTTCTAGGAAAGAGGGGCGGTTGGCTATCTCATTAACTGCAACACTCACTGAGCCTAAACTCTGGGCAAGGCACTGTACTTACCATGACCCTTGTCACATCCCCACCCATCCCCCCACCCCTCACTTATCTCTTGAGTTTATGGCTAGCTCCTGATGGCCCCTCCCCTGTGCCTCTCTCATGTCCAGATGTCCATTTGCAATCAGATAAGGCCTGGTTGGGTTCATCCTGGACTCTGGGAAATATAGCCTTGGCTTCTTGATGAATATACAGCCTGGTGTCAGGATGACAGCCTGTGAAGGGGCCTCCCTGAAGTCCCCAGGCTATGCCCACACCTAGTTCAAGACAGCAGAGACTTCTCTGATGTGGACAGGCAAGCTGTCAATGCTATGTGGATCCCCTACCCCCCACTCAGGCCCTGATCACAGACCCTCTTCCTCAACCCTTTCCACCCACACCTGCCTCTTGCTTCCTACTCACACTCCTGGGGCTCTCAAATGGTGACTAGAGAAGGAAGGAAATGGCCAGGCTAAAGATTCAGTGAAAATAGCTGAAGCTTTGTACTCGGACAGATAAGGGTTTGAATTTCACCATGTTACTTAACAGCTGCGTGACTTGGTCTGGTTACTTGAGTCTGGTCTCGAGTCTCAGTTTTCTAATCTCTGAAAGGAAAACAATCTTCTGTACTCTTAGGATTTCTGTGAGGATTAGAAAAGATATGTATAAGTATGTTATGCCCAGAAGCACTGAATAAATGGTAGACATTGTCAGACATAAGTTGGTCTCTTTATATTCCTTTAAAGTATATATACTTTCTCTCCCTAAATTCTTACAACCACCAGGCTACAGGGTCAGCCCACCAGTGGTGTTGCTGCAAGGAGCTTGGCTGGGTTGGAGCCAGCTCTCCTGCTGGGCCTAGACCTTAGTCTAGTGCATTGGTGGGGGTTTCAACCCCTCTGTCCACGGTTCAGTGACCAATCCTCCTGATTTGCCTGGGATTGTCCCAGATTTACGACTAAAATTTCCACATCCTGGGAGCACAGGCAGTTCAGTCTTGGGAAAACTGGTATGATCGGTCACCCTATCAAGCCAGCTGACCCACAGCAGATGGAGAACGTGTCAGACCCAGGAAGTAGCTGGGCTTCCCATAACCTTTCCCAGTTTGCTGGATGGATGGGGCCAGGCTGGGCATCAAATCTGCCCTTCCTTCTGGGTTCCCAGCCAAGACCTGGTTAAGTTGAGGCCAAGGGTGACACCCAGAGGTCATGTGAAAAACTGCAGTCTGGTAATCACCCACCTGGCCCTTGAGGCCTTCACTTGTTCATTAGTAAATATTTATTGAGCTCTCAACGCGTACCAACCCTTGTGTTAGGCACTGGGCATAAGTCTCAGGGTCTTGGAAGGCATCCTCAAACAAGTTAAATTTATGCTGAGACCTACTTATTGAGAAGGTGTTTGCCAGGTCAAGGCAGGAGGGAAAGAGAGAGTATTCCAGGCAGGAAGGAACAGCAAAGACAAAAACTCTGAGTGGGAAGGAGCATAAAACATTCAAGAAACTAATTACAGTATGAAGGAGGGGGTTAGTAGTGACAACAGTTGGTGACTAACAATTGTTAGTGGTGACAACAGTTAGGTTGCCAAGGCCTAATCAGCCAGGGGAGATTTATTTGTCTTTACCCTAAGTGCAATCAGAACTTAGTGAAGGGTTTTAAGCAGGACTGTAACATAATCAGATCTGCATTTTTCAAAGCTCACTCTGGCTACAGGGTGGAGACTGGTTTGGAGAGTAGTAAGTCTAAAGCCAGGGAGGCAATTAGAAGGTCATTGCAGTGTCCAGGTGGTACACAGCGAGGACCTGGACTTGGGTAGTGTGGGGAGATGATGAGAGATGTGATAGTTTGAGAGGCATTATGGAGATAGAATGGGCAGGGACATGGTGATTGACTGGAGGTGAAGGTTGAGGGACAGTGAGGTTCAAAAATGACTTGCAGGTTTCTGGCTAGGACCACTGGACAGCAGTGGAACAGCTGCTGAGAAGGGAGCACCAGAGGAGGAGGATGTTGGGCATGTTGAATCTGAGGTGCCTGTGGGACATGCGTGCACATCAAGATGGCAAATAAGCAGGTAGATAAAGATTAGGAAGACGGAAATAATGTGGGGGTCATCTGCATGCAGATGGTAACTGAAGCCCTAAGCAGCACCAACATTCACAAGTGGGCAGAGGAAGACCAGGCAAGTACGGTATTATAAAAGCCAGGGCAAGAGTGTTTCAGAAAGGAGAGAGCGGTCAACCTTTCCTTAGATCCTTTTAAAGTGAAGTGGTGGAGAGAAGCCAAGTTAGAGTGAGTTGTGCTGTAAGCAGGAGGTGAAGAGGTGGAGAAAGCAACTGTAGACAACTGTTTCAATAAATGTGGCTAAACTATCAAAGTTATCAGTGAGAGTGTAATTAGGTACAACTTTTTTGAATGGCAATTAGGCAGAATTTATGAAAATTAAAAATACACACAGCCTTTACCCCAACAATTCTACTTCCAAGAAGTTAGCCTACAAATGTACTTCACCCATGCACAAAGACTTACAGAGAGGATATTTACTGTGGCATTTTATAAATAGCTAAAGTGAAATACAATTTGCATACTCAACAGGGGGCTGGTTAAATTAGCTATAAAACAGCCACACAACAGGATATTATGTATCTGTTAAAAAGAACATGCTGGGGGTGGTGTTGGTGGGATGAATTGGGAGATTGGGATTGACATATATACATTAATGCATAAAATAGATAACTAATAAGAACCTGCTGTATAAAAAAATAAATTAAATTTATAAAAATAACATGCTAGATTTATATGTATTGAAATGGATACATCAGGACTGGATGCATCAGGACTTCCCTGGTGGCGCGGTGGTTGGGAGCCCACCTGCCAAAGCAGGGGACACGGGTTCAAGCCCTGGTGCAGGAAGATCCCACATGTCGTAGAGCAACTAAGCCCGTGTGCCACAACTACTGAGCCTGCGCTCTAGAGCCCGTGAGCCACAACTACTAAGCCCATGTGCCACAACTACTGAAGCCCACGCGCCTAGAGCCCATGCTCTGCAACAAGACAGGAAACCGCACTGAGAGGCCCACGCACCACAATGAAGAGTGGTCCCTGCTCATCACAGCTAGAGGAGGCCCGCGTGCAGCAACGAAGACCCAATGCAGCCAAATAAATAATTAATTAATTAATTTAAAAAAAAAGACTGGATGCATCAAGGAAAAAGGACAGCCATATATGCTTGTATAAATGCATAGAAAATGCTTAAAAAGGATACACAAGAAACTCTTCACAGTGGTTATTTCTGCAGGGTAGTCAGCGAAGGAGAATTTTACTTTTGATTTTATGTTTTTTCATGTTTGGATTTTTTAAAATATTTTTTTATTTATTTGGCTGCGCCGGGTCTTAGTTGCAGCACGCGGGATCTTCATTGCGGCATGTGGGGTTTTTAGTTGAGGCATGTGGGATCTCGTTCCCTGACCAGGGATCAAACCCAGGCCCCCTGCATTGGGAACGTGGAGTCTTAGCCACTGGACCACCAGAGAAGTCCCTATATGTTTGGATATTTATTGCAAGCATGTACCGTGGAATTTTACATAATTTATGTCCTTAAAAACTAATTTTCAATGGGCAGAAGACCTAAATAGACATTTCTCCAAAGAAGACATACAGATGGTCAATAGGCACATGAAAAGACACTCAACATCACTAATTATTAGATAAATGCAAATCAAAACGACAATGAGGTACCACCTCACAATGGTCAAAAATCAAATCATCAAAAAGGCTACAAACAATAAATGCTGGAGAGGGTGTGGGGAAAAGGGAACCCTCCTACACTGTTGGTGGGAATGTAAATTGGTGCAGCCTCTATGGAAAACAGTATGGAGGTTCCTTAAAAAACTAAAAATAGAGCTACCGTATGATCCAGCAGTCCCACTCCTGGGCATATATCCAGAAAAGATGAAAACTCTAATTCAAAAAGATACATGCAGGGAACTCCCTGGCAGTCCAGTGGTTAAGAAAGCACTTTCACTGCCGTGGGCCTGGCTTCAATCCCTGGCTGGGGAACTAAGATCCCACAAGCGGAGAGGGGCCAGCGGTGGGCGGGGAGCTAAGAGAATAAATGCACTATAATGGTTAAGAGACTAAAAACTAAAAACTAAGCCAGATTTGAAATTCCATCCTCTCCATTTACCAGCTGTCTGCCTTGTGCAAATCATTTAACTCTTCTTTGCCTCAGTCTCCCCAACTACAAAGTGGACATGATTATAGTATTTTTGTTTAATGAGTTAATGTATGTTAAGCATAGAAACCTTTGTTCTTATTACAAATAGCCATTATCCATAATTAAATTAAAAGTAGGGGCAATGCCAAGTGTGTGTGTGTGTTCTTAGCAGATAGCAAAGTTCCCCATACGTAGTATGAGTAAAACAAATATTTATTAAATAAATGATACACTAGAAAGAAAAAAGTACTCGGAAAATCATTTTTTGTTCTCAGACACTTTTTTTTACTTTGTATATGTTAGTTCCATGAAATAAAATGTTAAATTAAAAAAAAACGTGGTATATGGGACTTCTCTGGTGGCACAGTGGATAAGACTCCGCGCTCCCACTGCAGGGGCCCGGGTTTGATCCCTGGTCAGGGAACTAGATCTCACATGCATGCCGCAACTAAGGAGCCCTGGAGCCGCAACGAAGGAGCCCGCCTGCCGCAACTAAGACCCGATGTAACCAAATAAATAAATATCTTTTTTTTAAAATGTGGTATATATATATATACATATATACAATGGAATATTTGCCATAAAAATAATGAAATATTGCCATTTGCAGCAACATGGATGGACCTAGAGAATATCACACTAAGTGAAGTTAGAGAAAGACAAATATATATCACTTATATGTGGAATCTAAAATATAACACAAATGAATATATATATACAAAACAGAAACAGACTCACAGACATAGAAGACAAACTTATAGTTATCAAAGGGGAAAGGGACGGGGGTCGGGAGGAGAATAAATCAGGAGTGTGGGATTAACAGATACAAACTACTATACATAAAATAAATAAGCAACAAGAATTTACTGTATAGCACAGGGAACTATATTCAATATCTTGTAGTAACCTATGAAGGAAAATAATCTGAAAAAATATATATATATATATAACTGAATCACTTTGCTGTACACATGAAACTAGCACAATATTGTAAATCAACTATACTTTAATTTTTAAAAATCCTTATTTTTATAAGTTTGGCTGTGAAGGGTAGGAGAATTATACAAAAATAGTTGTAGAAGTAAGCAGGATAGAGGGAGGGCTTTTTGGTTTGTTTTTTTTTAAGATGAAAGAGACCTGATGATCTCTCTTAAAAGGGACAAAATGAAGATATATAGGAGAGAGAGGAAAATCAGTAAAGCAAGCTCACTGATGATGTGAGTGTTGGTGAGACCCAGAGCCCTGGTTAGTCTAACCCAGGTGGCACTCTTACTTCACAGTGACAGGGGAGGAGAGGGTGGTGTCAGCAGGTCTTCAGAGCGCCTGTAGAGGCCCTGCCCTATGGAAATGAAAATACATCTCTTCCCCAGGAAGCTCCCAATCTAGGGGTTTAATGAGCTGACCCTTAAACAACGTGGTGGGGGGTGGTAGGGTTAGGGGGCCAACCCCTGTGCAGTTGGAAATCCCTGTAAAATCTGCATATAACTTCAGAGTCGGCTCTCCACACCTGCAGTTCCGCATCCTCGGATTCAACTGCACCACGAATGATGTACTACTGTAGTATGTATTTACTGAAAAAAAACCCTGCATATGAGCGGACCCGCATGTAAGTTCAAACCCGTGTTATTCAAGGGTCAACTGGGACTTCCCTGGCAGTCCAGTGGTTAAGACTCCACACTCCCACTGCAGGGGATGTGGGTTCGATCCCTGGTCAGGGGAACTAATAAACTGCATGCTGCGCAGTGCGGCCAAAAACTTTTTTAAAAAACGGCCAACTGTACTAACAATTGCCAATCAAATACACTTGCTCTCACCTCCACACCTTTGTATAAGCCGTGTCCTCCACCTGGAACACTTCACTCCCAACCTCCGACACATAAAGGTACCCCTCACCTTGTGAATTCCTACTCAAACTTCTGGTCTCAGCTTCTCCTGGGAAGCCTTCCCTAGTCCTCCAGACAATGTTAGAAGCAACAGCCTCTTCACTGGCCTCCCCATTCTGCCCTTGCTACCCTCCATCCTATTATCAACTCAGCAGCCAGCGAGGTTCAATAGAAATGTGGAGTCTGATCCGGTCACCCTTCAGCTTAAAGGTGACCTCCAGTGGCTTCCTATCTTGTTCAGAGTAAAAGCCAAAGTTTGCCTTATGGCTACTATTCCCCCTCCTCCCTATCCTATTCCAGCTGCACTGGACTTTTGCTCCAATACACCAGCCCCATTCCTGCCTCAGGGCCTTTACATTGGTTCCTCTTGCCCCTTCACTTCCTTCAGGAATTAACTCAAAAGTCACGTTCTCGCAATTCTGACATATACTACAACATGGATGAAACTTACAGGCATTATGCTAAGTGAAACAGGCCAGTCACACACACACACACACACACACACACACACACACACACACACACACACTGCACGATTTCACTTACATGAGGTACCTAGAGTAGTCAAAATCATAACAGAGACAGAAAATAGAACAGTGGTTGCCAGGGGCGGGGGGAGGGGAGAGTGGCGAGCTATCTAAAGGGTACAGTGTCAGCTGTGGAGGAAGGGTTCAGCATATGGATGAAGTGATGGTTGCGTGACATGAATGTACTTAATACCACTGAACCGTACCTTAAAAATGTAACGTGGTGAATATTATGTGTGTTTTACCACACACACACACACACACACACACACACAAACAAACACACAAAGTCACCTTCTCTGAGGTCTTCCAGGTCACTCCTTATAAAAAGTCAAGGGCTCAAGGAGAAGAACGGAATCACGGGGAGGGAGGGCAAGGGCAAGGCCAGAAAGGAGGGAGCATCCGAGGTCGCCTCCTGAATGGGGAGGGAGCTCCGGCTGGGCGCGGCCAGAAAAGCGGGAGTTTCCGGGAGCGGATTTCAGGGGAAGGAAGGAAGGAGGGAACTTGGGAGGGGCGGGGTGAGGTAAGGGAGGGGAGGGGAGGGGAAGGGGAGGGGAGGGGAGGGGGAGGGGGGGGGAGGGGGAGGGGAGGGGAGGGGTGGGCCCTGAAAGGTGTGAGCTTTGGGGCCTCCTTTGCGGCTGGGAGAGGGAGGGCGGAGGAGAGGGGAGAGGGGAGGGGAAGGAGCGGGGAGCGGGCGGGGGTCAGGATTTCTGTAGGGGCCGAGTGTGCCTCGGGTCTGCGAGCTCCGAGAGTTCAACTCCTCCGCCCTCCACAGCCCCCACCTCCACCTCTGCTGACCTTGTCGTTGTAGAAGGCGGATGTATAGGAGAGGCGTCACCACCTAAACTCTCCGACCCGCGCGCGCGCCCTCCAGTGGTATTGGCCGGTTCCCTCAGGTCTCGACCTGCGCGCCCACCCTCGTTATCAATAGCTCCAGGAGGAGTGCAACCGCGGCCAGGCTCGGAGGACCTATCTTGGGAAAGTTCCGCAGGGTCCTGATCGCAGGAGGACACCAGTCTGATCCCAGGAGGTCACGGCCAAGACGCCAGCAGGGCTTCAGGAAGTAGAGTCTAGTTCTCTAACCCCAACTGGTCTCCAGAGCCGTCTGTGCACTGGGCCAAAGTCAAGCACAGTGCCCTTGCTGGGCAGTGTACCCCAGACAAGGTCACCCTTTTCTTTTTTTTTCTTTTTTTTTTTTTTGCGGTACGCGGGCCTCTCACTGCTGTGGCCTCTCCCGTTGCGGAGCACAGGCTCCGGACGCGCAGGCTCAGTGGCCATGGCTCACAGGCCCAGCCGCTCCGCGGCATGTGGGATCTTCCCGGACCGGGGCACGAACCTGTGTCCCCTGCATCGGCAGGTGGACTCTCAACCACTGCGCCACCAGGGAAGCCCCATCCTTTTCTTTAAGACAACCCCCACTTAGCTTCCAGAAATCTACCCTCCCCCAGGTCAGAAGTGATTGGTCAGGGGTCCTGTTTCTGTTCCCTCTGTCCATACCTGGAGCCCTTGAGTGGAAATTCCTTCTCCCGGACCAAAGGCCTGGAAGCTGCTCCCTTGGGGCCCCAATCATGAGAGCTGGGGCAGAGCATTGTCTTTTCTGTACCAGCCCTCTCAGATCCCTATTCCCAGGACCCCCTCCCCCAGAATACACCACCAAAGCCAGAGCCCTCCCAGTGCCTTCCCAGTGCTCAGGACTACGGAGGAGTAGCCCTTTGTATGCCCTGACCCCACAGTCAGGCCCAGGTTCACAGGCTAAAACCTGGATCTTTTGCCAGGCTGCACCATATACTATTTCATTTAATCAAAACAATCCCACTAAGTAGGTACTATTATTATTCCCATTTTTATAGATGACGAAACTAAGATTCAGAAGTTAAGCAATTTGCCCAAAGTTATACATGTGCTAGTGTGTTGGAGGTAGATTTTTAAACCCAGGTCTGTCTGGCTTTTGGAGTCCATGTTCTCCAATTCACTGGAGTGCAGAGTAGCACCAAGTACCTTTCACCACTGCTTCAGGTACTGCCTTCCTGGCTGTAGGCCTGAACACCCAGCCAGGTGTTTTTCTAAGCCCTGTCCCCTCATCACATCCTTCTCCCTCCTGCCAATGAAACTCAACAGTAAGTCATCACACCAGGCTGCCTGACAAATGAATCTCTTTTGCATTGCCTCAGACCACAGGCATCCAACCCAACTGTCTCCCCAACCTTATGCTCCATTGCTCCTCTGAGGGTTTGGCTCACATTCCTCACTGAGCTTTTGCTTATGCCATTTGCTCTTCGTGGAATGCCCTTCCAAACCCTTCAAGAGCTACCAGGTGAAGTTCCAGAAGACTCCGAATTTCCTCAATCCAGTGATCTCACACAGTTCTCAGTGGCAAGGCCTGAAATGCCCCCAGAAAGCTCCTCTGGCCTAATACCCAGTCAGGAAGCTGGAAAGAGCAAAGAGGACTTATTCTAGTCCTAATAGAGTCAGGAGGGTGAGAAAGGATGCCTGTGCAGCTGTTCCTTTCAGATCCTGAGCCACTGTTTTTTCTCCAAATCTTGTTTGGGACAAGGGCGTAAAAAATGTTAAGGGAGAAGTGGGGTTGAAAAGGTGCAGCTGAAAGATTTCCCAAAAGAGAGATGCATTTAGGAGCTAAATAAATGGTCTATCTTCCTATAACATAAATTTCTCTGGACCATTTTGGGGAAAAAGTGAAAATCTGTAACTTAAAGCATTTTATTCTATTTTAAGTTTTAAAGGAACATTAGGCAATTAAAAGCAAAATTCTCCAAAAATTTTAAGCTAAAACATGAAATTGCTAAGAAATTCCGTGCTTGTAGAGGGAAAATTCGGACTCTTCCCCCGACTAGGGCTGATTCCCTTTGCTCTGAGGTTGGGGCATGAGTAGGAACCCAATGCCTGGAACCTAGTGAAGGCAGCTATTGTGATCTCCAGGGTCCGGGGATGGGAGGCTCAGTGCCCAAAGGTGTGTGGCCCAGGCAGAGGCCGTGGGAAGGTCAGTGCCCAAGAGTGAGGCCCAGCCAGAGGTCATGGGAAGGGTCAGTCCTGTGCCCCCGGTGTACTCTCGGCCACACAGGCTGAGCGAGAGGGTGGAGAGTGGCAGTCACTGGCTCCGCCCCCCTCTCTCGCCCCGCCCCTGTACTGGCTCCGCGTGGTTCTCTAGAGCCACAGCTCAGACTCGGTGGTCTCCAGGCAGCCCCAGTTTGGCGTGCTTCGGCAGAGGGAACCGCAAGCCCCCAAGTGGTCCGTTTGTGGCTTCTCCCCGAAAAAGATCGAGGAACGCGGTCTGCAGGCAAAATTGGACTCCACCGGCTTCTGACGACAAGCCAGGGACTGAGAGTCTCCGAGTCCCGGACAAGTGATTGTCCCCAGGGGAGGGACAGGCCGGGGACGCCATCCAGACCGCCATGGCCGCGCCCGCCCGCCGTCTGTGCCATATCGCTTTCCACGTGCCGGCGGGGCTGCCCCTCGCCCGGGATCTGCAGCGCCTCTTCGGCTTCCAGCCCCTGGCGGTGCGGGAAGCAGACGGCTGGCGGCAGCTGGCTCTGCGGAGCGGCGACGCGGTCTTTTTGGTGAACGAGGGCGCGGGGCCCGCAGAGCCGCTGTACGGCCTGGACCCGCATCATGCGGTGCCCAGTGCCACGAACCTGTGCTTCGACGTGGCGGACGCGGGCGCCGCCGCCCGGGCGCTGGCGGCGCTCGGCTGCAGCGTGCCGGTGCCCCCTGTCAGCGTCCGGGATGAGCAGGGCGCCGCCACCTACGCCGTGATCAGCTCGCCGGCCGGCAACCTCAGCCTGACGCTGCTGGACCGCACTGGCTTCTGCGGGCCCTTTCTGCCCGGCTTTAGGCCTGTGCCCTCGGCACCTGGCCCGGGCTGGGTCAGCCACGTGGACCACCTGACCTTGGCCTGCACCCCCAGCAGCTCCCCAAAACTGATGCGCTGGTTCCACGACTGTCTAGGCTTTCACCACCTGCCGCTGAGCCCAGGTGAGGATCCGGAGCTGGGCCTGGAGGTGGCAGCAGAGTCCAGGCCTGGGGGGCTGAGGCTCACTGCCCTGTGGGCCCCTACGGGTAGTGCTGTCCCTACCCTCGTGCTGGCCGAGTCCCTGCTGGGGGTCACCAGCCGACAGGACCAGGTGGAGCAGTTCCTGGCCCGGAACGGGGGACCTGGACTGCAGCACGTGGGGTTATACACACCAAATATCATGAAAGCCACTGAGGGTGTGGTAGGGGCCGGGGGTCAGCTCCTGACTCCTCCTGAGGCCTACTACCAGCAGCCAGGCAAGGAGAAGCAGATCCTGGCTGCAGGGCTAGAGCCTAGCCTGCTGGCCCGACAGGGGGTCTTGCTAGATGGTGACAGAGGCAAGTTTCTGCTTCAGGTCTTCACCAAGTCACTCTTTGCAGAGGACACTTTCTTCCTGGAGCTGATTCAGAGGCAGGGGGCCACTGGATTTGGCCAGGGCAACATTCGGGCCCTGTGGCAGTCCGTGCAGGAGCAAGCTGCCAGGGTCCAGGAAGCCTGAGAAGGGCTGAAGCTGGGTGTAGCCGCCTGTCCTGGAGCACTGGGGAGTCCAGCACAGGGCCTGCTGGAACTGAGAGACACCCACAGAGGCCTGGAGTGAAAGGCTTTGTCTTTAGGAGCCAGGTGTGGCCTCCATCTCATCGTGCCAGAAGTTGAATCTCACAGGGGTCCAAAGAGATGGGACTTTTTTTTAAACTGTGAAACGTTTCTCATATTGTCTATATCTAACATATATGCAAAATGTAAAGAATAAAGGAATTACACAATTAGGAAATAGAACATAACCAATATTTTTGAACCCTCCTTGTGTCCTTCTCTGACCCCATTTCCCTCCACCACACTCCCAATATTATGATTAAAAACCCTCTGCTTTTCTGTATTGTTTCACTGCATATGTAATGTATCCCTAAATAAATGGTTTATTATTTGAGGTAGGAGTCTAAGACAAAACAAATCCTCCTCTGTGATTCCCCTCTCCCTAGGGACCAGCCACTGCAGGTGGGAGGGGCTGAGTCAGAGCTGAGCTCAACCACCTGCTCTAGGGTGGTAACACAACTCCAATCAGAGCTGACCAGAGACATGGACTGAGAGCGCTGGATGTCAGCCACTGGCAGGGGCTCCCTGCAGCTGCCTTCTTCTCTTCTGGGGCTGGAGGAGGACAGATCACTCAGGACAGAACACTCCCCTCCTCCATCTGCCCAGGGCTGGCTAGGAGCTCAGCAGTGGAAGTCAGGACCAAGCAGGACTTTACCACTTCCTGGGTCCCTCAGAGGTGAGGAGTGAGGGGGCTAAGGAGAAGGTGGAAAGTCTCCAGAATGACTACAAAAATCAGCACTTTATTAAACAGGATTCTCAGGGGGTGGGGGCTTCCAGAGGCATCACTGTGTTGCACTGTTGAGGCTGGGTGCATCAGCAGGGGATGTGGGGCCGAAAGAAACTATCCAGGACTTGCTGGCCTGCGCTGGGCTTTTTCCATCTGGACAGGGTGGACACCTGGGATCTTTTGGAACCCTGTGCAGAAGCCGAAGGAAGGAGGTACTGAGGGGGCAACAAAGAATCTTCTCCTTCCACCCCTCCCCCCACACCACTGATCTAGCTCAGATTCTAGCCTTATATTGTAAAGCTTCCATCCTGTTACCAGTATCTAACTCTTCGATCAACTCTCTAAAAGGCAGCCTGAGGACTTCCCTGGTGACGCAGTGATTAAGAATCCGCCTGCCAATGCCGGGGACATGGGTTCGAGCCCTGGTCCAGGAAGATCCCACATGCCGCGGAGCAACTAAGCCCGTGCGCCACAACTACTGAGCCTGCACTCTACAGCCCGCGAGCCACAACTACTGAAGCCCGCGCACCTAAAGCTCTAGAGCCCGTGCTCGAAACGAGAGAAGCCACCGCGATGAGAAGCCCGCGCGCGCGCGCACCGCAACAGAGAGTAGCCCCCACTCGCTGCAACTAGAGAAAGCCCGAACACAGCAACGAAGACACAACGCAGCCAGAAATTAATTAATTAATTTAAAAAGGCAGACTGAGGCAGTCTTCCTAAGATGCAAAGATGACTCCTCTCTCCACCTAAAATGCTTCAGTGGCCTGGCGTTCACGTTCCTGACTGGCCTGGGCAGGCCCTGCTCACCGCTCCAACTAAACCAAATGCTCACAGCTCCTTGAGCGCTGCAGACTGTACTGTACCCCACCTTTGCTCACACTACTCTTGGGCCTGGAAAGAACGTCTTTACAGCTGATTCCCCTTCCAAACCTGGAGAAAACAATTCATTTCCAGGACCCAGGTTACCAGCCACTCCTTCCAAGCAGCCATTCCTGATTCTTGCCTCCTAGATAAAAATGATAGCTCCCCACTTCATATCCCACAAAATCTTGTACAAACATTTCGCACACCTGTGACACTACTGTCTCCATCATTTGCTCTTGTCTCCTCTCTACCCTGGATCCAGATTGTAAAGTCTGGTCAAGAACTATTTCTCTCGCCCCAGTGAAGTCTGTCATGGAGACTGTTCACCCAAACGTGCATCATTTGCCTCACTGAAAACCTGTGGATTTGGTCCTGGAGAGAGATGGCTGGGTGAGGGCCAAGACACTCACCTTGCAGGTCCCTGGCTGCTGGCCCTCGTATACACGGAACACCTAGACAAGAAGAGAGGAGGAAAGTGCAGGGCTGGCATCTGACCCCAAAGAGCCCTCAACTTCATACCCCAGCACCTTTGTTTAAAATATGCTTTTTTGTTTGCTTACATAGTAACAGGTTCACTTAGAACATGTAGGAAACACAAAAAGTACAACGAAGACAACAAAGGTAGTGCCTTTTTCATGGCGGTGGAGACAGCAGCGGTGTGAAACTCCTCCCGGGTCAGCCAGCGAGCTCCAGGTGGTACAATGGCCACTGGGGTCTGTTCTTCCAGGGCCAGACCGTATACTTGATATGTCAGCTTGATGTGAGAGAAGGTGTGGACCACCTGGGGGGAGCGTCAAGAGGCTGAAACAGACCTGTGGATGTGGCCAAAGAAGCCATCATTCCTGGCCCCTCCTCTGCTCACTCACCTGTCCCAGGTGCCGAAGGCGGGTGGCCGGGACGGGCCCAACCCAACTCTGCAGTTCCTGCAGCAGGGCCTTGCGCTGGTGCTGCCCTGAGGGCTCTGCGGTCACAGATGGGAACTCCCACAGTCCTGCCAGCAGACCTGAGAGGGAGGGCAGCCAGGTATCCGTTAGGCCTTAGCTACTGATGCCTCTATTTCTTCCTTGTTGCTCATGCCACCTCCCTGCACTCCGAGGATCAAGGTACCTGAGTTGGGCCTCTGCACCAGCAGAATTCGGGCACCCCCAAGGGCCCTGGGCTGCTCCAGAACACAGGTGGCAGAGCACTCCTCCCTGGGGGGCCTGCGACTGACCTTTCTGGGAAAGTTGGCCACTCCCAGGGTCTGGTCCCAGGGCTCTGTGGGAGGCGCACACAGCTGGCACTGTCCAGTGTTGGGAGCTGGGAACAGAGATCCAAGAGCCCCACTCAGGCCAGGTGGGCTTAGGTGCCGAGCCCAGAGAGCAGGCCTTGGGCCAGCTCTGTAGAATCTTACTCAGACTGTAGAATGAAATGGAATGAGGCGGCCACAGGCAGCTCCTCGACAGTACAGGGAAGGGCTAGGGCTAGCACTCACCACACTCCTCCACGTCACGACTGCCTGGTGGGCTCCGTGAGGCTGAGAGCTGCTCCCGCTCCACCTGAGAGTCAGAGACAGGGTAGGATGTCACGGGGCAGGGGTCACTCCCTAGGACCCCTGACTGCCCCTTCCCCAGATGGCTCACCCTCTGGCGTGCCCGGCACAGGCTCTGCACAGGGCACTGGCTGCAGAGCGGGCGCTGCGGGGTGCACACTGTGGCCCCCAGCTCCATGGCTGCTTGATTAAAGTCTCCTGGCCGGGCTGGCTCCACCAGCTGCTGGGCTAGGCTCCTACAAGAAGGGAACGTTGCTGTGAGCCAAAGATCCTTTGGAGACAACTCTCCCAATCTCCCCCATTACTCCAATATCCTACCAGAGCTGCTGGGAAACCAGGGTGCTGCTGGGATCAGCACCAATGGCTCGGACACGGCATAGCACCCGTACTACGTTCCCATCCACCACACCGGTTGCCTGGCACAGAGGAGTCCAGGAGTCAGCCTGGTCTGGGAGGAGGGAAGGTGGGCACACACAATATGGGGGTGGGCTATGGGCTCACCTGGCCAAAGGCAATGGAAGCAATGGCTCTGGCTGTGTACCGCCCCACACCAGGCAGGAGCCACTGCAGGGTCTCTGCTGTACGTGGCATGTGGCCCCCTAGCTCCTCTACCACCTGATTGGGATGCGAAGGCTTAAGGTTATAAGATACCTGAGGCCCTGGGGCTCCCACGCCCCCCGCCACCCTCTTACCTTCCGGGCTCCTTCCTGTAGCCGCCGGCCTCGAGAGTAATAGCCCAGGCCAGCCCAGAGCTGGTTTACCTCCTGTGGGTGGGGTCAGAGGTCAGAGGGATCAGAGGTCGGTCCTCAGTAGTCCCCATTCCCCGACCCTAGGGTGGCTCTCACCTCCAGGGAAGCACTGGCCAGGTCCTGCAGCGTTGGCCACTTCTACAGCCCGAAGGCAGGCAAAAAGAGATGAAGCCAAAGGTGAAGGAGGTGGAAGAAGCCTTCTTTATTCCCACCCCAAAGGAGTCATCTGGGGTCTGGACCATGACCCTCCCCTTCATTCCCTGAAGTCACCTGCATCCATCGGTTATAATAGTCGATCACCGTGGCAACCTGGGTCTGCTGCAGCATGACCTCTGAGACCCACACTGGGGAAGAGGGGTTGGTATGAGGACACGGCTAACCAGCCCTGCTCCTAGTCCACAGACCCAGACCTGAGAGCGTCCAGGCAAAACAGCCCTGCTCTCAGGAGATGTACTCACCAGCATATGCCCGCCTGTCCAGGTCCACCTCACCCTCCACCTGCCAATGAAATTCCAGATGGGCAGTTAGTGTGGAGGGGGCTGGGCACCAGCCTCCCCCACTCCACCATCCCCACCCCTCACCCACCTACCCGCCTTCTCCAGGGTAGGTCCCGCTTCTCTCGGTCATACCAGCTCAGCAGGCTCTTCCGGAAGACTGTCACCTCAGCTGTGTCTCTGAATAGATGGTACGGGGAGACAGGGGCCTGCAATCTCACCTCCTCCTGCTGCCTGGCCAGGCCTGCTGGAGCCTCAGAAAACTCAGGGATCGTCCTTGCACAGGCTGCGCACCAGCAATCTGGGGCACTGTGGCCTGGTTTCAGTCTGTTCCACTTAAAGCTTCCCCCACCCCCAAGCCCTTGCTTAAGCTTGGGACCTGGAGTCTCTAGCCCTGGGTAGCCTTAGCCAAGTTTCTGGCCTTCATTTCCCAGGGTGATACCCCTGGCTCCTTTGTCTCTGGGTCATAATGAAAATCCATGTTTCCTCCAAGCATAATACATACCTGTGCAGGGCCTTCCCATTTACAAAACACTGACAGGTTAATAAACTCATCTGATCCCATGAGAGCCAAGTGAGGAAGGAAATGCACAGACTACTACGCCATGTCACTGGTAAGAAAGCAGCTATTCAGAGCAATTATCCCAAAGCCACAGAGGAAAGTCAGAATTAGAACCTTAATTAGTTCCTTAATGCCTTGATACATACCATGCTCCCTTCCCAGCCTGAATCTGTCCCCTTTCATGGCCAATTAAACCAGCCCCTGAGTCTCTAAGACCAAGCTCCTCACCGTCAGGTGCAGACGGCTTGGCCTGGCTGCTGCTGAGGGCACGTTTCTCCCTTCCCTCCTGGCTGGATGCCTGCTTCCTGCAACGACTTCGACTTCCCACAGCTGCTCGTGGCTTCCTCATGATTGACTAGAAAGGAAAGGCCCAGCCAAAGTAGTCAGTCGCCATGAGGCTGAATCTTAGGGCCCCGCAGAAGGTAAAGCTACCTCCCTCCCCACACCATTCATATAAAGTGTCTAGCTTTTCTCCAAGCACTCCCCAGATGCTCATGGGTTTGCTCTTGGCTGCCTGTGGCACTGAGGTATGACCAGTAGGGCTGAGGTCCTGCAAGTGGCCTCAGAGGGACCAGCATTAGTATAGTCTTGGAGACATAAACAAAACAAGAGGCCAGGGCTGGGCTGAGTCAAGGACCAAAGCCTCCTGTGCGGGAGCACCTGTGTATCCCTGGGAGTACAGGTGTAGGTAGGAGGTTTATCTGCTTAGAGATGTAGCACATTTACACTGAAACAGCATTTAGTAATCATCTAGTCCAAACCCTCATTCTATGGAAAGGAGAAACCTCTGTGATAATGATTTAAAACATAAAATGCAAAGGTGGAAAAAAAAAAGGAGAAACCAAGGATCAGAGAGGGGAAAGATTTGCCCGAGAGAAGATGGCAAACTGTGGCGGGGGTGGGGGGTGGGGCTGGGGAGGCAGGGCGGGCACGGGGATGAGCTATTTTTATTCCTAATCTCCTGATTTAGTAGATCATAGCCGCCTATCCATTAGTAATGAATGAGAAAACACATCTGGTTGATCTTCACTCTTCCCTTATTGTTCTGGCTGCCTAACAGAACAGTAGCTAACAGTTAGTGAGTGTTATATGTCAGACCCTATGCTAAGTGCTTTACCAGATTTCTCAATCTCCTGACAACTCCATGAGGTATGTTCTAGGATTACATTCATTTCAGTTATAAGGAAACAGGCTTGTGATTAAGCAACTTTTCGATTCAAACTCCGAAGGTCTGCCTGCAGAGCTTGCACCTGGCTATACTGCAGTCCCTGCTGAGCCTCTGGTTCAAACTCTCTCCTCAAACTTTTTAATTCACACCTCATTTTCATCAAGAGATTGCTTCCTCCTTCTGAGAAAAGAATGAATGAATGTACAAACGTACCTCCATCTGCACTTTCCTTGTCCTTTATCCCATTATATGGAGGAATGTTCCCTCCCCCTCCTCCAATCCCTTCCACAAGACCCACCCCCTCCACTTCCTAGCCAATCTTCCTTAACCAAACTCGCTGACTTCCATCATTCATTCTACAATCCGTTCTCTAAAGACTAAAACAATCTTTTAAGACATGATCATGTCACTTTTTTACTTAAAACCTTCAATAGCTTCCCATTAACTCATTAAACAAATATTTATGGAGCAGTTTTAGGTACTTGGAATACTTCAGTAAATAAAACATCAAAGGTTCCTGGAGCTTATACTATTATTTTTTTTAATTTCATTATTTGAAGTCTATAGATGGTTTATTTTATTTTTTGGCCACACTGTGTGGCATGCAGAATCTTAGTTCCCCGACCGGGGATTGAACCCGTGTCCCCTGCATTGGGAGCATGGAGTCTTAACCACTGGACCACCAGGGAAGTCCCAGAGCTTAGGGTCTAATGGGAAATAAATAATGCATACAATCAGTAAATTATATAGGATGTTAGGTGATAAATACTAACATAAAGAGGAAAAGTAGAGCAGTGAAGGGGATGAGTGGGTAGGGGTGTGAGAGTGTTGCAATTTTAAAGAAGGCGGTCAAGGTGGGCCTTATTAAAGTGATATTTGGCCAATGACTTAAAGCAGTTGAAGGAGTTAGCCATGTGAATGGATACCTGTGGGAAAGGAATCCTAAGAAGCTAGTGCAAAGGCCCTAAGGAGGTTGCCTGGTGTTTGTAGAACAATGAGGAAGCCAGCATGGTTAGAATGGAATGAGGAAAGGGTGAGGAGTTGATGAGGTCAGAGAGGTAAAGAAAGTGGAGAGCCCAGGACTACAAGTACCTTGTAGGCCACTGGAGAGGGCTTTGGCTGTCACACCCATTGCCAATCCTCTTAATATAAGCTTTGTAGGCTCCAACAAGCCCCATCCCCCTCGCTCACTACGGAACAACTATGTTGTCCTGAAATAGTTGGTTCAAAATCCCCAAGTGTCTGTCCTCCTTGAGGCCTCACCCAGTCCATTTCCTCTGCTTGAAGCGCTCTTCTATGTTTTACCTAACAGTTAGTCATTTTTCAGGTCTTGACTTAAATGTCCAAATCAGATCCCCCCCAGTCTTACCCTCTTGTGTACTTCTCCATTGTTGCTCTTATACCAATTTTAATTCCATATTTATTTGTGATTCTTTGATCAGTGTCTGCTTCCCCCACTTAACTGTAAAACTCCATATAAGCTAGGACTGGGTATCTTTTGTTGGCTGTTGTGTCCCCAGAGCCGAGCACGGTGCCAGGCAAATTGTATATAATACTTGTTAAACTAATTTGGGATGGGGTAGAGTAAAAGGAGGTTCCCCTTTTTCCAGAATGAGAAAAATCCAAACAATTCAGAATAATGAAAAGACTCGAGAGAAAGGTTGAAGATGGACTGGAAACAGCAAATAATCAAAGAGATAAAGGGTTGAGAGTCCTTGGTGGGAAGCAGAGCCCTTGGGAAAGGGCTAGTCTACGGTAGGGACAACACTCACGGTAGCAGGAATCATGTCCAAAACCCCTCAAGATCAACTATATCTCCTAATTACTTACAATCTGTCCCTACCGGAGGCTTAATTCAAATCCTTATTATCACGCGCACGGATTGTTTCAAAAGTGTTCCTGCTAGCCGGTCGCTCTCAACCTCCGCAGCCTCATCTCCTGTCTCCATCCCGGCTTCTTTAACTTCCTGGAACGCCGTGAGCTCTCCACCCTCCCTGGCAGCTTGCCCCTTCCCAAATATCCTTCCTTCCCCTACACTCCCCGGTCTTTGTATAACTTCTACGCGTGCTTTAAGCTTAGCCCAGGCAGCGCCACATCCTCTGGGGACCCCCACCCCAGGGCCGAATCGATGAAGACAAGGTAACGCGAAGGCCCACGTTCCAATTGCGTTGTACGCAGAGAAAAAATTACCTCCTCCGCGATCTCCAGCGCCCAGCTCCCAGACGAACTCCAGGAGGCGTGGCTCCGGCCAATCCGGGCGGTGAACCGGTCCACGCCAGCCAATAGGCTCCTAGCGCGCGCCAGGCTGGCTCCACCGCGCCAGACCCGGGAGGTCTGAACGGAAGTCCGACCGGTCGGCGACTCCGGGGGCGAAGCTCCGCCCCGTCCCCGACTGCAGGAGCGGAGTGAGGAGACGAAGAGGAAGTCCCGCGTGCACACTGACTATACAAGCGAGGGACCTCGGTGTCATGGCCGCCGACGGTGACGATGGCGCAGCCTCAGCTCCAGCCGTCTCTGACGGTGAGTGGCTTCCCAGGGGCCGCTTTAAAAGCCTGTGCGCTCCGGTGGGGGGAGGGTCTCGGGCTCGTAGTTCTAAGAAACCGATCTCAAGTTTCAGAGGACTAGCGCCTTCTTTCTGAACCAGCCACGAGGAGACTACAAGTCCCGGTGTGCACCACAGTTCCGCCTGCAAAAGCCTAGAGTCTTGGGCGCAGGGCATGTGGGGGCATGTCGGGAGATGTAGTCTGGAGTTCATGGCTCTGTTAAGTTAGGGAGGTTGGGAGTTGTGGTCCACAGGAAGTGGGACGTGTTGGGGCGTTATTTATCAGGCTCTGGGGCATACTGGCTACTGCCGCCGCTTGTGGCCATGAACAGTAGTATAGAGCCTTTGGGATATTAAAGGGGCCGAAATCATCAAGCCTTGCAAACTATTTCCTGCAGGATGTGAGGAAAAGGAACCTCACAGATCATCTAGTCCTACGTTCCTCTTTTACAGGTTTTGATGCTGAGGGGGAAGAAATTTTCCCAGAGTCTCACATAAGCCACTGGAAGACCCAGGCTTTCTCTCCCCAAATTCAGGACACTGTTCACTCCAAGGCCTGTGTATAAAGCATATGTGATACGCTTGAGGAGAAAGCTGCCATTTCTTGCCTTGAAGGAAACTGCCCCTGCCCCCAGCCATGGCCTAGCTTGGTATCTTTTCTCTTAGGCCCTTGCCTGAGCATTAACATCCATCACCCTCCTTATCCCCAGGTGGTGCCAGCCAAAGCACAAAATCTGGGGAGGAACTAGTAGTCCAGGTTCCCGTGGTGGATGTGCAAAGTGACAACTTCAAGGAGATGTGGCCATCCCTCCTGCTGGCCATAAAGACGGCTAGCTTTGTGGCTGTGGACACGGTGAGAGTTGGGAGTTGGGAGAGCAGGTGGTTGTGAAAGGGCTGATACTGTGGACCTAACACAACTCTCCCTTTACTGCGCCATAGGAACTGAGTGGGCTTGGGGACAGGAAGAGTTTGCTGAACCAGTAAGTATAAGCCCTGATCTCTTTAGTCCTAGCCTTGGAAGGAGGGGCAGACCTCAACCCTGTAGTGGAGGTCACAGTCCTGGGTGGTTTGGGTCTTTCATGAAGCTAACTCCCAGCCACAGCCACCCCCAAACCCAACCCCAAGGTGCATCGAGGAACGTTACAAGGCCGTGTGTCATGCTGCCAGGACCCGTTCTGTCCTCTCCCTGGGCCTCGCCTGCTTCAAGCAGCAGCCAGACAAGGTATGGGTTGATCTCACCTGCATCCCAGGTCTGTGGCTGGGGGGAGGAGGGTTGAGATCCTGGGGAACATCAGCTATGAGGTTTTTTTCTCCCAAGGCTGGATGTAGCAGAATCTCTTCCTCTCCCAGGGTGAACACTCATACCTGGCCCAGGTGTTCAATCTGACCCTGCTGTGCATGGAAGAGTATGTCATAGAACCAAAGTCTGTGCAGTTCCTGGTACAGCATGGCTTCAACTTCAACCAGCAGTACGCCCAGGGTATCCCCTACCACAAGGGCAATGACAAGGTAGGCCTCCAGCCTAGAGACTGCCCCTTCTGTGACTTCATTTCTTACTACTCTAGGCTGGGTGCATGGGGAGGATCTGCTTCTTAGGGAGTATGGGGGATTACTAGTGACAGAGCTGGGGGAACAACACTCTTACACTGATGAATAGCATTGAATTAGGTGAAAGCAAGGGAGAGCTTTCCAGGTGAGGGACCCTGGGATAAGTGTCCTGCAAGGCTCCCTAGGGGACTCTGTCCTTCCTGATGACCCCTTTTTTTCCACCCAGGGTGATGAGAGCCAGAGCCAATCAGTGAGGACACTATTCCTGGAGCTAATCCGGGCCCGCCGGCCCCTGGTACTACACAATGGTCTTATAGACTTGGTGTTCCTGTACCAGAACTTCTATGCACACCTGCCTGAGAGCTTGGGTACCTTTACTGCTGACCTATGTGAAATGTTCCCAGCTGGCATTTATGACACCAAATATGCTGCTGAGTTTCACGCCCGCTTCGTGGCCTCCTACCTAGAATATGCCTTCCGGAAATGGTGAGGAACTGGTTGAGAGAATGGGGTGGGGCCTGGTATAAGCTTGACTATTTCATTCACTTAAGATATCTAGTGAGCACCTATCATGTGCCAGGCACTGTTTTAGGTGCTGAGGGTTCAGCAGTGAACAAAACAGACAGAAACCCCTACTCTCATGGAGCTTATATGCTAGTGGACCAATACCCTCTTGCGATGTTACAGTGAGCGGGAAAATGGGAAGCAGCGGGCAGCTGGCAGCCCACACCTCACCCTGGAGTTCTGCAGCTATCCTTCTAGCATGAGGGCCCATATTGACTACCGCTGCTGCATGCCCCCTGCAACCTACCGTATTCATTCCACCAGCATCTGTGACAACTTCTCGGTGAGAGCACCTGCCCATTTCCTGGGGGAGGGACGTTTGATGCCTGGAACCCCTCTCTAAGCTTTTTTCCTACCTCTAGGCCTATGGCTGGTGCCCCCTGGGACCACAGTGTCCTCGGTCCCATGATATTGACCTTATCATTGACACTGATGAAGCTGTGGTGGAGGACAAGAGGCGACGGCGACGACGTAGAGAGAAACGGCGGAGGTCTTTGTTGGGCCTGCCTGAGAAACAGACTTCTGGGGAAACCGAGGATGGTCCTCCCACCAAGCAGGTCTGTAGGGTTGGCCTCAAGCCTGAGGAAATTGAGCAGGAGGTGCCTGAGGATGAGACTGGGAACCAACCTGGCTCTAAGCAAGGTCACAAAAATGACTTGGAGATGGAGCAGAGAGCAGCAAGGCCTGACACAGCTGACATGGCCAGCTCGGAAGCTCCAGAGAGTCAAGTCAATCCTAACCCAGTGCCTGGGGATGGATTGCATCGGGCTGGTTTCGATGCCTTTATGACAGGTTACGTGATGGCCTACGTGGGAGTGGGCCAAGGACCCCAGCCCTGTAACTCTGAACCATGGCTACCTGAATGCCACAACAAGGTATACCTGAGTGGCAAAGCTGTCCCCCTCACAGTGGCTAAGAGCCAGTTCTCCCGTTCTTCCAAAGCCCACAACCAGAAGATGAAGCTGGCTTGGGGCAGCAGCTGACCCAACTTCTACCCAGCACTCAGGGCCCAGGAAGAGAAGCTGAGGGTGGAACAGAGGGGTCTGGATCCCTCTAGCCTGTGAGTGTCCTACTCCCAACTACTAGGGGACGGGGACAGTGTCCTGGCAGAGATACTGCTGCATCACTCCTGGACCTTTGCCTTTACTCCAGAGGATGAGGAACAAGGATACAAGTAAGAAGGCTGACCAGCACCTGTAACACAGACTTTATTCATTTTTAAATCTCAAAGTGTCCTGGGAAAGTTTCAAAAAAAAAAAATCAACAGAAACAAGATATGAAAATATTTGACCAGCTTCATCTTTGGTTATTTCTTATTGCGGCTCTATAAGGACAGACTCTTCCCATAGCTCCGGCTGTAGCAGAAAGGGAAGAAATCAGTCCACGTATAAACCATTTAACCAACTGGGTGTATCACGTGTTGACAAATACATAGAGCAGGCCCTAGGGCCTACAAAACCAGCCCTACTCCCAACACAAAGTTGAAAGTTTTATAGGGCAGAACATTAAGACTCCTTCATAAATATGAAAATAGATTAATCAACTGGAAAAGATCTTTGAATAGGTTAGCTGAGAGCCATGACCACCACTCTGCCTTGCCCTCCCCTTGCATAGAAAGTGTAGTGACGTGGTCTGACCGTGCAGTAAGTGCAAACAGCAATTATTCAAGTGTCTTAAACATTCTGGCAAGAAGCACCCCAGTCTTCAGGTCTGAGAAATAGCCATGCCCTTTATCCTGGTCAGCTCCAGGTTCCATCCATTTTAGCTTATATGCCCCAGGAAAGGAAAGGAGACAGACCCGGGATAGGAGAAGAACCTGGGGTAATAGCTGCCTGCCAGTGCACACTAGAACTAGGAGTCCTCTGGTCCTGTCTGGGGAAGTCTGGGTGGGGGCCAGAGCTCCTTGCTGGATTTCAGAGGCTTGGTATTAGCTGTTTGCCCTAACTAGGAAGGTGTCTCACTGCTGCCTCACTGCTGCCTCACCTCATACATAGCCATTGGGCACTGGGAACCCCAAAGTTGAGCCTGGCTTGGCTTAGCCTGCCTGCTCTGTGGGCCCCAGGGAAGAGTCAAGGCTCTGCAGCAAGGGGGCCCTGTGGCTTCAGCTGAAGGTCCATCCCCAAGGTGAGGTGGGGATTAATGCCCCTTACCCATCCAGCTCTCCCTGGGTTTTCAGGCCTATGCCTGAGACAGAAAAGGGGACTGGAGCCAAGTCTCTTGGCCTTTCTTCTACCTCCATCTCCTCAGGGGCACCTGCAAGGCATGGACTGGCCCCCTGAGACCTGGGCCCAAAACCGTTTTCTTCCTGGGGACTGGAGCAGTCCATGGCTTCATGGGCTGGAGCAGCTGGTAGGGCAGATGCTCGGAATGGTGGGATCTCCCTTACTCTGTACTTGTGACTACTGAGGCGTGGTAGGGGCCCATCAGATAGTGATTCTTCTCGGCCCACAAACGGACAAGCCTCTTGATGCAAGAACTCTGGTGAACTAGGCAAAGAA